TACCAATAGTCCAAGAGGTACTATGGGGGCCACCTTCTTGTGATAGGACTGTCCCCAATGCCGAGATTCTGAGGTCCTGCAACCCCACCGCTAGTGCAACCTTTGTGGGCGTTGCCGCCTCCCACTCTCCCGGTCTAGCCGCCCTAAGGGCATGAGTGGCTCCGCCGTCTAACAGTCCAGTAGGCGCTCTAGCCCTGCTTAATGCAACGTTGGGCACAAACACCTCAGATTCAATGTCAGATCCATTGGGAACTGCTGGGGGTCTTTCCTCCTCAGGACCAAGGTGCTGACCCGAGCTATTGATGAACCCCCCTACTCTTTCAGGGCTCTTCTCTCTATTCTCGGGAACCCTCATTGCGGCAATTCTGAGTGACTTAAGCAATTTCTGGGCCTCCTCAAGTACCTGAGCCTGCGCTGCTGACGCCGTTTGTGCAAGAGGAGAGATGTTCGGGGTCCGGGTGGTTTGGGCTTGGGAATTATTTGGGGCTGAACCAGCAGAGCTTCCGTTAGCAGTGGAGGTCGACCCACTACCTGCACCCTGGCCATTGGCCGGCGTACTGGCAGAACCCTTGCCTCCCCCTTTTCCTTTGCCCTGCCCATCCCCTTGTCCTTTGCCCTGAGGACGGGTGCAATCCCCTTGACGATGCTCCAGTGATCCACAATTGTAGCATCGGGATTCACCCTTGGCTTTGGAGAAATCGTGGAAGAAACCACAGGATCGCCCTTTAGTACATCCCTTGTTGGTAAGGTAGAAGCCACATGGCTTCTGATCAGCCTTTCCTCCCCCTTTTCCGGATTCCCCCTTTTTCCCTGTTTCGGACGTCCCCGCACCCTCATCCTTTCCACCCTTATCTTTACCCCCTTTTCTCTCTTTACCCCCTCCTCCTTTTCCTTCATCAGTGTCCATCTTTGCCAGTTTTGGCTTACCCCCTCCCTCATCAACTCCGGATACCGCTACCATCTCCCACTCAGATTGCACGATCCTTGCAAATTCCTGCAACGAACCCATACTAGGAACATGATCAAGCTGAAGCAACGTGCGAGCCTGAGACAATCTGAACGCGACTTGCACATGCTTCTTGAGCAAAGTCTCCGATAGCCCATCGAGAGCCTTGATGAGGCGTGCTGGATCTGGTACCACCACTCCCATACTAGTAGCCTGGGCTATGGACCTGTGCCACCTTCTAATCTGCGCTACTGCTTCTTGGGACGTCTTAGCAGTCCCAAGGTTTGTGAGAGAATCAAGTAGCTCATTGCGCTCGGCCAACCCGCCTGGGGCGTACAATTTCAATGTCACAAAAATAGCAGCTACAGTATTCAATGATCTAGTTGCCAGAAGTTCATCGGTGACCACCTTAGGCAACGCTGCCTGTAGCATAGAGAAACCTCGAGACTCAAGTCGCTGAAACCGTACATGTGACAACTGGCTAGACATGCTAGGGATCAGTAAGCCACGATTGATAGCACTAGCAGCGGTCCACTGCGTGTACAGTGATCTTGCCTCCCATTCTACTCTTTGCCACCATACGGCGCTACTTTGGGCAAGATCAGCCACAAGGGGTCTAACCAACTCCAGCCAGTCCGCCGCCCTTGTTGCCGCTTCTGGCAAAGAGGGCTCCTCCAATAATGGAAGATTCCAGTACACCCTATCCCCCGGAGCATACGGGTCCCTCCCCCCATCCTGAACAACTGGCACTCCCTCAGCCCACGGGTCCCCCCCAGGGTCGGCGGTGCCCGAGGGGCGATACACATCTCCAACTCCAGCTGCAAAGCTCACCGTGTCCACAGACTGACCACGGTATCCCAGCCCTCCTACCCCTACTAACCCACCTACCTTAACAGAGGGCTTGACCGGTACTGCCCACATCAGGAGGTGGAGGTCCCCTGGGAACAGGAGTACCCTGAGGGGTAGTTTGACACTGAAGCTGATACGCCCTCATAGGATTAGGAGGCGGGGTTCTTTCCCTATCCCTAGATCCTACAACGCAACCAAAATTTGGGGACAAGCTAGGGGCGTAATTTGGGATAGCTGCCTCTACTCCTGGCGCGCAGGACTGACCCTGACCAGCATCCACAAGCTCCTTTGCAGCCAAATATCCCTGCTGAAACCCTTCTTCGTACTTCATAACCCCAAGAGCCTCTCTATCCCCTTCAGAAACATTATGGGTTACCCCTTCATCCGTCCTACTTAACTTGCTTAACCCAACCCCAGACCCACTATGATCAATCAATTCCTGAGGATCCTGGGCCGAGCAAAACGCTGCCGTACTGGTCGACTTCTCTTCTTCAAGTCGAGTGAGTCTGCTCCAGAGCGCTTGATTTTGCCCCATTAACTGCTCGTTCTGCTGGGATAGCTGGAGCAGGGCATTCTTCATCTGAGTCAGAATGTTTCGTTCACGGATTGACAGGCCGTGCTGTTCTTCGGACCCTGAAGTCCCTTCCAGACCCATCTGGGCCGCATCAGCACTGCTCAGCTCCACAGCTGACCGCGCATTCTCTTGAAGAACACCTGAGCCCTCTTCCACTGTGGTTCTCAACACTCCAGGTCCATACACAGTCGGTCGCCCTGCTGGACCTCGTAACTGATCACCACCACTATCCACAGCTCTAAGCTCAGTAGATGAGCTAGACACACCCGATCCAGAAGCCCCTTGAGCTACCATCTCCGGAGCTGTACCCAAGAAGTCTTGACTTGGCAATGAATCCGGCCTAGCAAGCTGCAGCTGCAGCTCCTCTCTGGCTCTTTGTGACCAGAACGGGTTCCCTGGGATTTCTCCAGAGGATCTTGCGTCAGTGCTCTGAACATCATTCCCCTGCAGCCCAACAGTTTCAACTCCTGCTCCATCGACAGGTCTGTTTTCCCCAGCTACACTTGCGGAGTGATCTCCAGAACCTTCCAGACGATCCGACCCTCCAGGATTATCACCCACTCCCTTTCCAGTTCGCCTCCTATGCATATCCATTGCTCAAGTGCCCTCACCCTAAAGCGTTGGGCTCATAACCTCTGAACGAGGCATGGGCAGCTCTCTGTTTTCCTTGGAATAAAAATGGCCTTCGGTAAGAAGATTCACCTCTGAACGCACCACAGAAGCTCACACCCTAAACCTTGAAACAGGTACACTGAGAACCTCAGCGATACTGGGGGTAATGGGTCCCAAGGGTGTGATAGCAAAGAAGACTTCGAATTCTGCCAAAGACTTAAAGAATGTCGAAGGATGGCATTAGTACTAGTGGTACCGGAGGAACATATAGGAACCATAGTAGAGTTATCGTTATCTCTCGTGCTAAAAATGAGCGGGTGGGGGCTCAACCCTAAACCTAAATCCTAAATCCTAATCCGGCTTCTTAGATTTGACTGGCTTCAATTCCTAGGCTTTGGGTGTGCAACCTTAGCAGGCAGCATCTGAGGTTGCATTGTTTAGGGTTTAGGGCTTAGGGTATATAGTCCCTTTAAGTAGATAGAATATGGGGTATATGGGGATCGTATTATAATATACCCAAATTAAACCCTGAGTCCTAAATCCTTCCGGATGGAGAAGGGTCCGTTTGCTTTTGGAAGCTTTGAGGGGTAGGGCACAAGGGAACATACAGCTATCTATATTGGGATTGTATATTAATGTAGGGATTATATTCCTTCATTCCTTTCGAACTCCCCAGTTAGCCAAACTGATTCTGAGCACCGGCAGGTTTCCTTGCCGCGCGTGAACCTCACCTTCTACGCCCTCGATGTGCCTAACCAGCAGGTCATCAGCTCGACGGGCATCAGCCTCGGCGGGAATATCGCTCTAACGGAATTTTGGGTTCAGAGGGCTTATCACGTTGTTTTTGTGGTTTTCGGGGTCTGTTGTCTCTATGAGCACAGCCAGGCTAGGATCGCCGGATGTCCCCTCATGGCCTACTACTCATATGAGCTACGGACAAAATTTAGGTTGGGGGGGACCTAAAAGGGGACTATATAGGGTTGAGGGTTTAGGGTTTAGGGAGACCTAAAGGGGACTATATAGGGTTTTGAGGGGGACCTATAAAGGGATATACTACAAACTTAGTCCAGGGCTCATATTTTTAATGGCAAGGTCGAAGACTTTTGCTTCGAGGTTTTTCCAGCAAGCCTTGAGTTCTTGGAGTTCTTCGAGACCTTAGCATTATATTAAAGTATATTGTATTAGATTATGGTATATAAAGGTATACTATAGTACATCATGGTATACTACAGTGCATTATGGTATATGATAGTGTATTATAGTATAGTATAGTTAGTGTATTATAGTATATCATTGTATATTATAGTGTATTCTAGTATATTATGATAACAGTATACAGGGAGGCCCACGGCGAACTTGTGATCTTCGTGAAAGCTCATCATCTGGAATCCTGAATGACAGCTGTGATCTCAAAACCGAACCCCTTTTTCTTGAGAAGACATTTTTGCCTGCCATGCTGTTCGCCTTGTGTTGTTGGGCTCTGTGTGGGATGGCGCTCGGCCTGGAGTCTGAGACAATGCAGCTATTGCAACACAGACTTGCGCTGGAAGGCCCCCAGGAGCAGCGCTTGAAAGCAGCAGAGCCCATCAATTGGATTGATTTCCCCAAATGTGGTACGTCGTTCCTCAATGCGATTATGCACTTGCCAGGCGTGTGCCCACTTGCTGCAAATCTGACAATCGGTAAGCAGTCGTTTGGGTCTTGCTTCCTGCATAATTGGACGAGTGTCATGTGTTCACAACTCTGTGATCAAGAGAAGTTCAGATGCAAGAGCGACCTTCACATGCCACACCCACCAATTGACCATTATTGGGCAGAAAAGGGTAGTTTCATGGGCTTTTTTCGAGACCCTGATCAGCGCATACTCTCCGGCTACCACGATGACATGCACAATTTTGCGTCTGTAAATCTCGGCGATGTCCTGCACACAAATGAGGTGAGACCCTTTGCCAATTGCTCAAGGCAGGAAGGAGCCCAAAAGTTCCCATTCTCGAATTTGCTGAGTCGTGGAAAGGTGGCATGACTTACCAGCTGGTGGTAGAGCATCCAACCACACAAACGCTAGATCCAGACCGCAAGAGGATGACCCACACAGATGCAGAGAAAGCAGCCCAGAGAGTGCGGGATGGTTTCGCATTTGTTGGTATTACAGAGGAGTGGAGCTTGTCAATTTGTCTGTTCCACAAGATGTTTGGAGGAAGTTGCCAACAGTCCGACTTCACAGACACCCGGCCTTCAGCTCCTGGGAAGTCTGCCAACGTGGCCTACGATACATCGGAGCTCATGGGGTGGCATGATGACGTTGATGAGGTGGTGTATGCTGCCGCCTTTGACGTGTTCCGCACAAATCTGATGTTATTCAACGTGTCGCACAGCACATGCCAGGAGTGTTACAGCCGAGGGGGAGTGACTGCATACTGAGGGCAATGCAGAGAGCAAGTGTTGGACCATTAGCGTTTCATCGCCCCCGCACGCAGATAGCGTTTCACCCCAGACGCAGACAGCGTTAAGACACGAGTTCAGTAGACAGACTCGGTCAAAACATGCCTGCCAATGTGTGCCTAGAGCATTGAACCCCCAGGCACTAAGGCCTTCAAACCGTGACGCCCAGCATTTAACCCGAGCAAGGCTACAAGAAGACCTACTTCTCAGACGGTGTCTTCAAAAAAGTCGGCGGCCTGGATTTGTGCAACTTTGTTGCAGGGTTCAGCCATCAGGGTGGAATAGTCATAGTCATGGTGCCAATGATAGTATAGTACGAGTGGACAAGTTGCAGTACTACGGGTTTAGGGCGCACCGGCTCCTGACCATCTTCGCGCACTCTCTCATACACACACCACTTAGGACCGGACAGCTGTCTTGTTCTTCCGGAAGGAAAAGTTGAACTTGTTGGACTGTTCTTGCGTTCCAGTAGTACCGCGAGTTTCCTAGAGCTACATCCTAGAATCCTTAATCGTGCGCTTGAATATCGATGAAACTGTCCTACTGCGAGAAACCCCCAGTTGTCAAAAGAATCCATGCAGACACCCCTGCCTCAGCAGTGCAACATGTGACGCATAGGTTACCTGAGTAGTATTTCATTTGCGGATACTCTGGTACCCAATATAGAGTAAGATTCTATCCATCTTTTGGGGTATAGTATCTTATATAAGGGATATAATCTTACTAGGTTCAACCACCCAAAAAAACACTACTCACCTGGAGTGTTTCAGAAGGAGCTGTCCCAAATGATACCCAGAACAAGCCTTCGCGAAGCTAGCCGTAACTCCATAAGGGGCCATATAGGCTACGGTCCGTTCAACGGATGTCTATTTGGATCTCTATGTTAGCTGGGGAAAGGGCATAGTTCGAAAAAGCATTCAGCATCTGGAGGAGGTACCAGATTTTTCGGGTAACGTTCCAGGCCCCACGGCCCCGAACTCAGACACAGTGGAAGAAGTAGTTTCTCTACCGTGTTCTCAAAGACACTTCTGGCATCCCTACAAAGTCCGAAGGCAAAATCCATAAGCCCTAAACCCTAAGCCCTAAACCCTGAACCCTGATTGCTGAACTGGTGCTAACTGCTCAGCCCCAAGACTGTAAGTTCAAGTTTCCTTTGTATATCCCAAATTCTTACCTTGAGTTTAAAACCTAAAACCTAAAAAAGAAAACCCTAAACCCTAATCCCTAAATTGGGTAAGGCCCCTGGGATATTTGATATTTTCCCCAATGGCTTTAATAGGGGACCCTATATATTAATATTTTTCAAAGGGTTTTAGGGGCCAACCCCAGTAAACCAACAAGATCCCAAATGTTAGTCAAGGAGGACTCTGACGGTGGGGAAACATTCCTCTCAGCGAATCCTTGCCCTTGGCCTCGGTGAAGGGTTCAGAGTTTAAGGGTTTGGGCTTAGGGTTTAGGGTTTAGGGTTTGGGCTTAGGGTTTAGGGTTTAGGGTTCAGGGTTGAGAGCTTAGGGTTTAGGGTTTAGGGTTCAGGGTTGAGGGCTTAGGGTTTAGGGTTTAGGGTATGGTTGCGGGGAAGCTTTAAAGGTTTTTGGGTTTAAGATGTGGGGTCTAGGGTTTAGGGTTTTAGATTTGGGGTGTAGAGTTTTTTTGTTGAGGTTTCAAGCTCTTGGTGGAAGGGTTTGTCATCTTGTGAGGTTACATCTCTGTAAAGTTTTACATTCTTAGTGCTACTGGATGGATGTTCCTATGGATACTTGAAGTTGCGTCCTCTAGGATTTCTGAAATGCTGCTCCTCATTTAAGCCATAGTCTAAACTCCTTAAAGGGGGTCAAAAAGGGCGGGGTTATATAATTAGGGGAGTAGTAGAGGGGTTATTAAGGGGCTGCTAGGAGATTGAACTATAGCTCATTTGTAATGAGTATCAGACCGCCAACTCCACTACATGTGTCACTTCTAATGGAGCTGGCGGCTGTGACCTCTTTTGCCACACTGCTCTTTGCTGCTTGCTCAAATGTAGAATGTCATGCGTGAGGACTCTGAGCATTTTTCCCAGGTGTGTTGGGGGGCTTTAAGTTTGGACTTGCTAGCAGTCTAAACCCTACACTCCAAACCCGGCCCAAATTCTTCCAACAGTTTCAGCTCCAATCCCCAAGCCTTCAAGTAGTTGCGGGATTTTGTGAAATGTGAAGCCCTCAACCTTGAACCCTAAGCTTCAAGGAAGCCATAGACCTGAAACACAGAAGCCTAAAGCCTAAACCCACAACCCTACCCTTGAGCTCCGAAGCGTCTCAACCAGCAGCTGCCTGCCAATCTGAGACCTTGGTGAGCCCTTGTCTTGCTGATTGTTGGCAGGGAAGCAAAAATCGAAAGAGAAAATGGAAACTTCTATGCTAGTGTGGACAATTTTTTTTGGGGGGCTACTGTAGGGATCCATTCCAACCTCCCTCCGAGTTACTTACATGTGGACGTCTTCTTGCTTGCTCAGGGAGGACTATAGGAATCCCAGAGACCGCAGGGTGGCTGTATGACAGTGACAGGTACAGGCACTAGCGGACCCCCCGGTTCAGTGCTAGCATTGGAGTCTCAGGCAACCCACCCCGCTGCCCGAAAGCTACAACTCGCTTCCTACCGGCTTGTCTGAGCGACGAGATTAAAGGTGAAACGGGTTGCCCTGAAGTAACAAACCACCAGCACTCACACGTTTGAGTTCCGAAGCTCCTCAAGGGAAATCCAGGGACCCATCCCCCGCCCACAGCATTGCTTGGCGTTTGAGTCTCTATACAACCCCAACCCCTACAAACTTCCTCTGCAGCCCTATGTCAGCTGCCACAGTGAAGCTGCGGCCACCGAAAGCCTTGAAACCTAAACCTTATACTCTAAGCCTTACACCCCAAGACCTAAGTGACTGGAGTAACCAAGCCTCTGTGCCGATGGGCTCAAGCTGCATTCCTCCCCGCCACTCCAATCGGAGCCGGGCGTGGGGGAGCAGGCGGGCCTTGGGGAACCTGGTTAAGCGCTTGGGCTTAGGGGTTGAGGGATGTAGGCGTGTAGGTTTGGGTGTAAGGAGAGGTGTAGCGCTTGGGGTTCGGGGGCTGCCCAAGTTCTTCCCAAGCATGTTCCTTCAAATGACCAAAAACCCATTCTTCTTCCTAACTAAGCCGGAGACAGGTCAAATAAAGGGTTTAGGTAGGTAGCTCAGGGATATGGAAGAAGCGTAAAGATTGAATGTAGTGATCTGATGCTTGGAAGGGGAAGTAGCGAAATGATCGCATCCGGAATGCCAGGCAGGAGGATGATTCCCATACGAGCCATAGTGTAAACTCCTCGAAGGGGGTTATATCGGGGATTATAGTCCCCCTTAAGTAGATAGAATATGGCTTTGGGTATATTAGAATAAGATCCCCATATACTCCATATTCTACCTACTTAAGGGGGACTATATGTTGGGGAGAATTATAGGGGTTACTGAGGGGGATACTCGGAGTTTAGTAGAATTCTCAGGGAGTGCTCGGTTTAGCTAAGCCCTAAGCAGTTTAGGATTTAGGATTTAGGGTTTTGGGTTTAGGGTTTAGGAAGTCACTTGTTTCAGGGTTGTGGCCCCTAGGGTTGCCAAGGTGGAGACTTCGCGCTTTCGTGGGGTTGCAGAGTGAATGGTCTGAGAGATACCCACAGCCTGAAACCCCGAAATTCCTGCAAATCCGCAAGACAAGGAAGTAATGGAACGAAGGAATATGCCGACCACTAGATTCTACAAACCTCGCACCCTTAACCAAGATCTAGATTCTAGATACCTTGGCCCCAGATTCCACACTCCGTATTCTAGGCTATAAGCTCGGCCGTAGACCCTCAACCAATAGCGCATCCGTGGACTCGCGAATTGCAAAGTTATGCGAGGTCAAATTTGGAAGTGATTTCCAATCTGAACCATGCCAAACCATAATGAGGAGTTCATCGGTTTAGGGTTTAGGATCCAGTTTAAGGTTCAGGCGAAGCCTGAAGCCTAAATCGGTTTAGGGTTTAGCCTTCACTGCCAGGCTCGTTCCGGTGGGAGGATGCCAATCGTCCGGACCACAGCTCCCATAATACCCTGGCATTTTTTCCGGGGCTCAGGGTTTGGGCTGGCTTGGCAATTTGGTGGGTTTAGTTTAGGGTTTAGTTTGGTCCATGATCAGGGCCCTAAGCCTTAAACCCTAAACCTTAAATCCTATAGTTACCCTGAAGACATGAAGGGGTGGCCACAGGCTATGCCCCAACTTTACGCGAGCTGATGGCCGCAGGTTATGTGGGGATGGTAGCTGATAGGGGTAACACGGGAATTATGCCATGGGTTTGGGTGGGGCCCTCTAAGAGCCCTTGTTTTCTAGAAACCCAAAGGTGATACTACACGTGTGGATTTCTGGATGCTCAGGTAAAACAGGATCCATTCTGCAGACGGCTACGGACTGAAGTTGAGAAGGGACTGGTCTTGAATTTGCAACCAGACCACGGTCTCTTTTCATCGGTCGCCACGGTATTCCGCTAAGCCCTACCACCTCTTCAGCCCTAAACCCTCAGCCCCAAAACCCAAAAAACCGATTCCTCCAGTGATCAAGCTAGGAGCTACAAGTCAGAGCGGCTGAAACCAATGCTTCTTGAATTGTCATCTACGTTGATCGGCGACCGTGGCGACTGGCAAGCAAAAGGACATCTACGTCCCCTAATGCATTCTACCCTATGCTTATGCTTATGCTTAAGCGGTAGGTTGTCAACACAATGAAGTACCTTTTGGGTATCCAAATATTAAGGGCCATATGAGTTATAGTCTAAACTCCTAAAAGGAAGTTATATAGGGGATTCTATAGGGGAGTAATGTAGGGCCTACTAAACGGGGATACTTGTAGCTCATATTCTGTTGGGGATCCCAAAACGGATCATACTGTTGAGAACCCATCCCAGAGGGATGACTCGGGTGGCGCAGGCTATGGCCTGCACCCGAA